TATGTCCACGATGTCTGGAGGTGCGTTGTTAAGGCACAGTGCTCAGCTGGTTTTTTTTTTTTTTTTTTTTCCTTTTTTTGTCTTTTTTTGTGACCGGTAACGGGATCGCGACCCTCGGTGTCACGCCCGTACCGCGACCGGCAACGGGATCGCAACCCTCGGTGTCGCGCCCACACCACCCAGTCTCTATATGGGATCCGAACCCTCGGCGGGAGCGCCACTGTGCTCCCAAGCGCCGCACTCTACTGAGTGTGCCACCGGGCCGGCCCGCTCAGCTGTTTTTTAATTAGTCTACATTCAGTCAAATTAAGCATGACGTGAAATCATCCATGCTGCGATGTTTAAGAGATTAAATGTAAAGGAGGCCAACTGTACATACTGCATTGCAAAGGACTGCCCTGTCAGAGGATTCTGATGCACGCCCCATTAACCAGACTAAGGGGTGTGGCTGACTGAGGGGGCAGAGCCACCGATGCATGAATATGGTTTTCAGGTCATCGCTACTATGAATGTCCTATGAAAAGTCTTTAATGGCAAGATAGTATACATTTAACGACACAGACAAGAAAAGCAAGCGCCACCTGTGCAAGACCCCGTGCCCCATCCATACATAATCATAAACACAAGAAAACTGCCAAGTTCCAAAAGATTTCCCTTTTCTATTTATCTGACATTAAGAGCTTGTTCTAAGTAATTAAAACAATGCCAACATAGTAGGTTGCCAAACACAAAAACCATTTAATTGAAAAAAACAAGAAAGGGTAGAATCTGGCTTTGGGTCAATCTGGAACAGCCGGGATCAGATTCACCCCTCAAGGGTGAATGGCTAGGAAAACTGAGGAACTGTGTGGAAGCACACCTCAAGTTGCCAGACACCAGACAGGAGGGGCAGCAACCTGGGACAAACCAGAGACAGAGCAAGCCCACCGCTGCCCAGCTTGCTGGTTGGGAGTGTGCAGGCTGCAGTGGGGAAGGAAGCAGGCATAGCGGGTGACTCTGAGTCGAGGAGACAGAGCTGGCAGGCTGAGACACATGAGGCTGCTTGAGTTCAAAGGGCTGAGTGCCAGAGAAGTCCTCATAGAGAGACTTGGGAGGACTAGACAGTGTGCATGTGAGCAAACGCCCTGAGGTGGGCAAAGAAGCACCTTGAGTGGATAGGAGAACTATGTCCGAGGCTTCCAAGAGACCCCAATGGCCCAGCTGGGTGGCATCTGGACAATTAACGAGGTGGACAGTCAGAGGAGGCCAAGGGAAGGCTGGCAAGGAGCCCATGTGAAGAGGACCAGGATTGGCCAGACTGCAGAGCCATGGGAGGACACACATCTCCTACGAGCTCAGTCACTTCTGAGGCTGGGAAATTAAACACCACTCTAATCGAGGCCAGTATTTTCTATTCTATTAGCTATTAGCAAATTTAGGGAAAAAAGAACATTCAATGTTGATTTCTTTCAAATACACCCTACTTGAGATTGCCTCTGATAAAACAAGGCAGGCAATGGATCTTCAGGTTGTTCCTATTATACAGAGAACTTTTGCCAAAGGTAGAAAAAGTTTGCATTTTTAGGGCCCAACATTTTACATCACAGGAAACTCATATATGAGGCTACTACGTAGCAAACTGTATTTAAAAGATTAGATGCTGAGATACAGGAGTATAAATGCACATGTGAAATAACTATCCAAAGAACAATTCTAAGAAAAATGCCAAAATATCCACGTGATGAAGGATACTAAAACTTCTATCTGTGATTTCTAAATGCCATAGATTAATTCTCAGGTCATCTGCAGAAAGATATGTTTCATGATCACTATTTACTGAAATGGAATTTATATGATATGTGTGAGCATTTGCAAAAATTCGTCGTGGACTTGCTTCTACCATAAGGTCCATGGGCTTCAGTATTGGGACCTAAAAATGGAAGGAAATAGCAATTCAAAACAAAGATCATAGCAGCATAAAATTAGAACACTTACAGCAGATAACAAAAAGGGACAAATCTATATTCACAGTTAAGTAAAAATTTTCTACAGGCAATACCCCCAAACAACCAATTAGTAGAGCTGTGAAAACAGGCTACAAAACAAATATCAGAATATCGTCTATGCCAAGTTTTCCGTCCTTGCTTCCATTACCAAGGTTGACACATTCTTCTTGAAAAAGAGAAGACAAACTGGCACTCTCACAAACCTCCTGAACAGGGCATGGAGGCCTCCTGATATGGCTTCTCACTCCTGTGTCCCCACATGGCTACAACCAAGACACCGGACAACAGTCTTCTTGGGAAGCTAAGGCAAGACCCTGTCATCACTGCCCTGGTAGCCAGATGCAGGAACCTCTGCTCTAACTGCACTAGCAGTGCCTCTCGGTGCAAACCCCACAACTGCCAGGGTGCAGGAACCGCAGAGTGCACAGGAGGGCCCTGGGAGCTGAGGATGCTTCGTTTCTTGATCTGGTGCTATGTGGGTGTGTTCGTTCTGTGAACACTCATGGGGCTGGTCACTCTTGTATGGCAGATGCATTTTTGGTTACGTATATTGTACTTCATTATTTATACTGTACTTCATTAAAGTAAAAGGCATCCCTCCCAATTCCTGTGCTGAGTGGTGGGGTCAGGGAGGCTTCCCAGGGCATGGGGCTGGTCACTCTTGTATGGCAGATGCATTTTTGGTTACGTATATTGTACTTCATTATGTATACTGTACTTCATTAAAGTAAAAGGCATCCCTCCCAATTCCTGTGCTGAGTGGTGGGGTCAGGGAGGCTTCCCAGGGAATAGGATGCCTACGCTGAAATGGAAAAGATGGAGGGGAGGGAGCACTGGCTAGAGGGCACCACAGCCCAATGCAAAGGCAAGAGCACAGGCAGGAGGAATAGGGCCACATGTGAGAAGAAAGGAAAAAGGCCCACATCCCACTGCCATCTAGCTGGAAGGAAAGCATAAGGTCTAAAATCAAAATGAAACATTAATGATAGAATTCTTTTTGTTAACTTTGTAATTAGAAACCGAAAGGGAAAACCTCAAGAGCTAGGAAAAAATCTCTCAATTGAGTCTTCTCTAGACAATTCTGTGAAGATGAACTTGGGAAGAGAGTGCACAGAGCGACCCCTTCCTCATTTTAACCCAGGTTAGTGCTGACCACACCCATGGATTCTCTAGAGCAAGAAGTGTTAGTTCTACCATGTGTAGGATTAAAGAGAGACACTCTGCCACAATCTCTCATGAGTCTCTAATCAAAACACATGAGTTATAATGGAAAGATTCCTTCTTTTAATTAAATCCCTTTTCTGGCACTAAATTAGAAAAAAATTTACAGAACAGTAACATTTCTGACTCTTAAGTTCCAACAAATTAATACCCCATTTTGAACTTCAATCATCTTGCCTGTGATCTCTTACTTCACGCTGCGATTAACAGAAAAAATACACTTCTCATACGCTTCACTTTGGCCACCAACTAGACCAGTTTTATTTAGGATAAATCTATAAAAGCAGCCTTGAATAAAACCAAGATTAGGCCTAATAAGACCTATAGTTTTTCCAAAATAATCACACAAGCTCACGGGATGATGAAGGTGGTCTGCCTAGAAGGAACCTGGGTCCCAAGCAAGGGGTGTGTGTGCACACCTGGGTAGGAGGTGGTGTTGGCAGCAGAGGAGCATGCACAAGCCTGGAGCAGGGCTCAGCATATACCCACAGGCTCCTGAGGCCTTATCCATCCCATGACACTTCAGATCAACATCAGTAGCTTATGTGGTGGGAACTGTAAAACCAGTGTCACTGGCATTAAATATGATTTACACTAACTGAAAGCAGCAGCATGGTGTACTGGGAATCACCAACCTTTTGGATCAAAACATCTTGGTTCAAACTAGGTACTATAAACTAGGTTTGAGCAAATGACCTAGCTTTTCTCAGCCTCACTGAACCCAGTGGAGACATGGTGATAACATCAATGTAAAGGGTCTGAGGACTCCCCCGCTCCTCGGGCATGCTCACCCCAGCTGCCCCTGCCACTTAACTGTTGGCAGAAACCACCTTCGCTGCAGGCTGTCACCTGCCTTTCCAGCATCCACATGGCATCCTGCCTGGGAGTGCTCAAGAAACATATCAGAGTGGACCAGACACTAGGCCCAGCAGGCTTGCCCAGCACCACTTCCGTCGCGTGTGCCAAGGAGAGGTTTCTGCAATACAGCGTACACCTCTGTGACATCCACAGCTAACGTGCAATGTGCTCACTAACACCACAGTATAACAGATTTAAAACTCATTAAAAATCAACCAACCAAACAACCATTTCTGAATACACTAGCAACACTCCTTTGGGACTGGGCAGTTTGCAGGAACTCCTCTCGGGGGAGCTGGTCTTCCTGAGGCAGCCCTGTCCCAGGCAGCATTTCTGGGGTCTCACCAAGACATATGCGGGCGCAAGCCCAGTGTGTTTAACTCCCTTTACCGTATTTCATCTAATTTAAGACACCCTCCACGGGGCACCACCAGGCCAATTATAAGACACCGAGATTTTAAGTTTTACCCCATTTCACAAATGTTAAAATGTGAAAAAAGCTAGGTATTAGAATTGATGAAATATGGTCGTTTCATACTTCACCTGGAGGTACTAAAAAGGGAATAAAGAATTTAACAATTAACAAAAAAAGTAAAGATTCTCATGGATTGACAGGCGAAGCATCCCGAAACATCAGAAGTTGCCTAAGTAACTCAGAGGAAATTCCATGAGGAGCATCATCAGTGATCTTGGTGGCCCACGGTTCTCTCTCAATTTGCAACCTCTGCTAATTCACCTGGAAAGTGCTCTGAATTTCGTCTGAACTTCAACCTGCCCAGGTGCTGTTCTGAACCTTCAGAGTGAAAGGTGGCTGACACATTCAGAAAGATTTCTGTCATGGAATTAAATGTGAGTTTTCCCCTTAGTACTGCTGTATTTTCAGAGGATAATTGTGTGACTTTGCCTCTGTGAAAAGATGAGGAATCCTCTACTTTAAACATGTATACATAAAAATGATTACTACTACTACAAATGGCTTTCGTGAAACACAAAAGCAAAACCTGGAGTTATTTCACTTAACAATATTCTCCAAACAGCTGACTTAAGCATTATTCGATTAATTTCTAAAAGTAGTGGATATGTAAAGAAAAGCGACGTATACCCGTAGTGCTGTAATTCTAAATGGATCTCGAAGCCGTCCATCTTCATCTTTCAAGTTATAACCTTCTGCTCTTTTATCCCGTTCACTTATTTTCCATAATTTTATAGTTTTATCTGAAAATAAAAACCTCATTCTCCATATTAAAAGAAACCAGAACATGCATCACTACTATTTGAGTATTACATTAGAAAACTCTGTGGCCCTATGTTGGTTTATAAGCTAGGGGGTCTTTGAACATGAATATTTCCAATTATAGATGAACATTTATTTTGTACAATAAATAAGGATGTAGAAACATACACAGAGTAGAGTAACAGAATACTGGGTGGGTGGGTGTGGTTTTTCCACATACTTTGAATTTTCAACCTATTACTTGCTGCCCTAGCTAATTTACCCTCTTCCCAAAGTTTAAAGCAGAAATAACTTCTAGAACGGGTTAAAATAAAAATAAAGACACACACACACAAAGAATTAAAAATATTAAATAACCACTTAAAAAAAATTCTTACCATTTGTAGAGAGCAGAAAATGAGCAGCATTCTGTTGTGGTAACCACCTAATTTTATTAATTTTTTCCTCAATTTCTAGACTTTTCAAATAGTCAAACTCTGGTTCATGACTTTGAAAGGTACTGTAAACATTATATTCTCCCCTAGAGTGAGGGCGGCTTTTATTCTGCAAGGAAACATGATGGCTGTTTTAATGAATCAAGAACAGTGCAGAGAAAACTTTAGTGCTACCAACTTGAATTTCAAATCATTACAAAGATTTTAAAAAGTTAAATAAATCCTGGCTCAAAAATATCTCAAACAGATGAAATTCAGAAGTAATTTACTTGGAAAAAAACAAAAAAAGGACTATTTCCCAACCCTTCCACTTATAGGTATCTACTCTAGAGCAGTATCTGCCGAATTTAACCTGCTGCCTTGTCAGTAAAGATCCCTGAAACACAGTCAGGATATCTGTGCAAATAGTGTCTTGGACTGTTTCTGCTACCTTGACAGAGGTGAGTAGTGGGGAAAGAAGCTGCATGGCCTGCAGAGAACAACATTTGCAATCTGGCCCTGGAGAGAAAGCTCTGCTGAGCCTGCTCTGAAGAGCCGGCACAGGCCAAGGAGGAGCTGGACAGCGATGTGGCGGCACCACCGCACGTGCCAGCCACAGAAGGGCAAACCTCAGGTGCAGGGTCAGGAGATAAGTTCCGTACGGCAGTTAAAACGAATGAACCAATATGGACAAATCCTACAATGCTGCATACAAGCAGCTGCACAAAGACACCCACAGTAAGGTGCTGGTTAGGTAAATTTTTAACACACACAATTCTATATGTTATAGTAAAAGAAGAAAATCATGCCTGGGAAGACATATACCATCTCAAAATAATGAACAACTCTGAGAAGGTAGAGGCAGAAGAAAATAAGGTCGGGGAGAAAAGTGACAATAAAACGGGGAAGGGTATGACTGGAGCTTTATCAGTATCCTGAATGTTTTCTTTCCTTTTACAAAAGACAGTAATATAGCTCGTGGGTTCACAGATATATTTATATTCATCTCTGAAACCTTCTGTATGTCTAAAATGAAATTTTATATGAAGTATAAACATTTCATAATTAAAAATCAGGGACACAAGTATTTTAATTCTTGCTCTATAATCAATATGTAAAATTTAACATTTTTTAATACCTATGTATGCCAAAGAAATTGAACTAAACGAATTTTTATGTCTAGATAGATGCTTCTCTGTATTTCTGAATTAAGATCAAATACGAGAAGACATCCCAGAAGACTACCTGAATCTCTCCACTGCACTGAATTTTTATATACTGCACTCATATAGCCCTTGAGATCAAGTGTTCGTTGGCAGGAGCTTGGAAGTTTCCCTACTACATGATTTCGATGAGTGTGTTGTGTTGGGGTTAATGCTACTTAAACTGTTCTCTCTCTTCACCACCCCCTACCCCTCAACAAAAAAGCATAATACACCAACAGATAGTTTTAAGTTGCAAAGGAGAAAAATAAAGTTGAACTATTTAAAAAGAAAGACTGGTAGAATGAAGTATTCTCATGGCCAAAACATTCACCCACCCAGAAATAACAGTACAATGAACAATCAGTGGAAGGCCCAACCAAAGAGCTGCCAGCACCGCCCTCATGCCACAGGCATGGCACCCACCACCAGCTGCCCCAACCCCACCCCAATCCCCACGTCGCCTCATAGCCTTCTCCAATGCCCATGAGCCCAAAGCAGTCCCATGTCTCCATGGGGTGCCTAACCAAAGAGCTGCCAGCACCGCCCTCATGCCACAGGCATGGCACCCACCACCAGCTGCCCCCAACCCCACCCCAATCCCCACGTCGCCTCATAGCCTTCTCCAATGCCCATGAGCCCAAAGCAGTCCCACGTCTCCATGGGGTGCCCACCCCATCTAGGGAGGGATCCCGTGGGAAGCCTCGCTGGGCTTGGAGCAGGAGTGAGGACAGATCGCAGGCCTGAGCTGCGGCACTAGGAAAGGGAAAATTAGGAAAGGAAGGTGGAAAGCTCTGTTTTTGGACATGCTGATTTCTGATTTAACTAGATGAACTATTCAAATAGATCTGATTCTGTGGAAGGGGAGATGCAGATCTTGGGAGGCCCAATGCATGGGAAGCCAACAGATGCAGAGCCGAGCTCTGAGGGCAGGGGGCTGCAGGGCCACATTCACAAACCCCACTTGACTTAGTTTTACATGCTGGACTTCCCTGGGGACAGAGGTTCTGCCTCTAAAAATAAGAAAAGCTCAAAAATCACACTAACTATGCTTCCTACCTCCTGTCTTCCGTACAGCCAGAACCTTCCAATTGGTCCCTACGGGCCTGACTCCTTGCACCTTCCACAGTCTAGCGGGCCCTATCCTCCAGCAATCCTCCACGCTTCACCACCTCTAAGATGCACGTTTTCCTTCACATTTTGACACTTCTGAAACCTTGGCGCAGCTTCTGAGACCCGCGGCAGTGTAACCGGCAGCAGTCTCATCTTCTCAGCAGTGCTGCAATACCATCAGTGGCTTCCTTAGTTATGGGTGGAAATGGAAGCTTACACCCTTTATCCACACTGGAAGAATTCAAGGCCACAGTGAGTGTCATACATGGCAACCAGTAAAATACTAAAAAAGCAGATGGAATATAAATGCCCTTCTTACGTTAACTAAAATATAAAGAAAAAGACAAAAAAACCCACATCGGGGTTTAGCAAGTTGCAGTTGATGGGGTTTATCAGATTCAAACAACTTTAGGGACCTTTTCCTATACAATCTGTCATTTCACATAATGACTTAACACATCTTAAACAAAACTCTATAATATCCAGTATTTTTTAGAGTAACATGCTTGACTTTCATCAGCCTATTTTATATTTGAAGCTAGTATTTTTTTAGATTTAAGCAATGATCCATAAAAACAAGAAAAATTTAACTTTCCGTTCCGAGACCTGCTAGAGCAAGGGACCAGGCAGCTTCCGTAAGGAGATCACTACAGTGGGAAACTTTTCTAAGGAGCTAAAAATAGAAGTGAAGTCTTCAGTTGAAGACTGCTGTGACTCAGCACTGTGTTAAATAATCCTTCTGCTAAAAGTTATATTTAAACACCACCATCCGTCTGAAAAAGGTATGGTATATAGTTCTTAAGTAGCATTGTGTGATATTCTATCTCTGTGATAAGAATGCAAAATATAAATTTATCTAATTGGCTGTTAAGATTTAGAGGGATTAATGATAATATACACAATACTCACAAAAGAATTTCCTGTCATCTCAAATCAGAGAAAATAGGATTTAAAAAATCTTTAATTACATGGACATAATCAAAATTAGAGCTGCAACACGTACATTTTGATAATGAGATCTGTTAGCACCCCATTAATCCCTCCCACTTCATCAAGCAATCCTGGTGGCCCAGGCATCGCCCTCCCACAGATCCCCACAAGCTGCCCTCTCCAGTGGCAGGGCCAGCACTTATGTCCTGTACTCAGAAGAGTTACATGGAAGGGGAAATGGGCCCACTAACCTCTAAACCAAAGTTTTACCACAAAAATTTAGAGACTAGAATTTGAAGATGAAAAAGTAACTTCCCATTAATCTGTTAGAAAACCTAGAGACAGGAAGGACAAGGGACCATATTTTTGAATCTCTTAGGGAAAAAGGAAGACAAATATTTCACAGAGACCCCAGGCTCAGCTGCTGCCCCACGGTTCCTGCCTGGAACCCTTGCATGACAGATAGTGAGCTTGCTTCCTTCCTCATCACTCACTAAGAACTCTGATGAGGCTCACCAGAAATAGCAGGGGGCTTGGCAAGGCCTGGTTCTATTTCTCATTCTCTTTGGCGTGACTGAAAAAAAGTGCTATTTTCCCCCCAGAAAGAGAAATGACCTGAAAACCAGTGCTTCTTTGTGAGATCCATCTGCGGGCTCCTTCCCCTAAGGACGGGTGAAGCTTTCTGGGGGACGTGCAGGAATGAGTGGGGATCATGTCTTACTGAGGGGAAGAACATTGATACCCCCACCCCCAAACTTCCCTGCAGGAAGTGCTGTTGGAGCTGCTCAGTGCACTGGAGACCCTCCCCTCCTTCACTGCAGCACAGCAGGGCTGGGCTGCACCTCCATGGCTTGTACAGGGGTTTTTGCAGACAGCCGCTTTACTTAACTACTGGATAAAAGCGCACAACTTCAGAACACCAGCCCCTGCACCCTCCTTCCTCTGGTCCTCACTACCACCAGGGCAAGTGTTCTCCTCCCAACCCCAAGGACTCAGTTGGGGCTCAACAGTGAGATTTCAAAGAGCTGAAAGGTGAGAACTAAAACATGGATCTTCTCCCTCACCCTTAAGATAATTTCTGAAAAACGATTCTATATGGTTAATGTGATATAACAGAATCTAAATGAAGTCACACACAGAAAATAATGTTGCTTCCTTTCTCATAAGTGATATGGGAAAGTTTGAATTATCACACTGGGTTTGTGGATTTTAAATTACTGACCTCTTGTTCCCGCTGAAAAATAACAACTCTGCCGCCCTTGTCTCCTGTTGCAAGAAGATCTCCAGAGTAATTAAATTCAACGGTTGAAATGATGTCAGCTGTCAATAAAATACAGAAGCAATTTACCAGCTGTTTTTTGGAGGAGTCACAGTGAATATTAAAAAGCAATAAAAAATATTTCTCCAACCTGAAGAAAAAAAAACAATAAAAAGGATCAAAAAGAAAGATAAACATATATGAAACTTTCTCTCCAAATAAGGCAAAATTTTCATGGCAAACATGTAATTTCCACGTGGGCACTTCTTGGTTCTGCACAGAGCCCGCCAGCATATGCAGATTTCTGAGTTTTACTCCACTGATCCAGTGCCTGGTCCCTTGGTGCACCAGGATTTATCTAGACTGGGTTGTCCAGATATAAGGATATAGGGCAGAAACTTAGAAAATTAAAATTTTTTTTTCCTTTTTTTTGTCTTTTTTCGTGTCCGGCAATGGATCGCAACCCTCAGTGTTGCGCCCGCACCGGACCGGGACCGGCAACGGGATTGCAACCCTCGGTGTTGCCCCCACACCTCGCTCAGCCAGTGAGCGGGAACCGGCCCGTATGTGGGATCCGAACCCTTGGCGGGAGCGCCACTGCGCTCCCAAGCGGCGCACTGTAGCAGTGCGCCACCGGGCCGGCCCAGAAAATTAATTTTTAAAAGAAAAAAAAATTGGTCGTACAAGAATGTTGCCTAATTTTATAATGCATGCCTAAGATTAACTTCTAAAATAAATCTGATTCTCATATAATAGTAAAAATGTCTTAATATTCTGTATGATAGCTTTTGTTGGCTTCTGTACCAAATAACATTACAGACAACACAAGCTCTCTTTTGCTGTCTGGATAAAGTTACTCCCATTGATAGCAATGATATGTATGATAGCTTTTGTTGGCTTCTGTACCAAATAACATTACAGACAACACAAGCTCTCTTTCGCTGTCTGGATAAAGTTACTCCCATTGATAGCAATGATATCATTTACAAGTGAGACCATTGTTAGTAAGAGACTTCAGATTTCTGACACCATAACATAAATATCAGCTCACAAGAGGTAAAGACCATGAGGTACACACATGAAAATAAACACTGGGAAACTCCGGAGGTTCCCTGAGACTGACCCTTCAGTTTAGAGGGAAAGGATCTGGATGCAGGACATAGAGTATGAAATCAAGAAAAATATCCTAGGTCTGTGACTTGCAGAAAAGGTTCCACGATGGACTCCAGAAGCTGCTTGTTCTCTGCAGCTAACTGAAAGAGGACATGGCATGGATGCAGCCTCCCTCGGGTGGGTCTGAACCTGTCCTATGACCACAACTGGACTCCTGACCTTAGCTGGCAGTGCCGGAAAGTCTCAGGAATGGCTGGATCACTACAAGCTTACCCCCGCTGCAGGGCGCCAACTCACGCGAAGAGTGTGCAGAGTGACCGCCTTGCACAGTCCAGGCCCACAGGATCATTAAAGTTGAAGTTTTAAAGACAAAAGCCACTAAATGGCTATTGTAAACAGCTTATCTACAAATAAGAAATGAACCCCAAAGGTGAAACTACTTGAAGAACTGCCCCCTAAGTAGAGTGAATACTTGAATGCAATTCTTAAAGATCTGCACAAACATTCTAATCACACAGTTGTTAATAAATGATTTCCTTCCAGCATGTGCTTGGGAAAAGGATTAGGCTGTTTCTTATTACAAGCACTACTCTTAAGTTACCCAAAATAAACTAATTTGCTTAAATGAAACTAAAATATTTTGTGTTGGATTAAAAGGGACTAAATCTATGTCATTTATACCCAGAGGATGTACGATATTATATAATTAATGGTATTCTAGCTCTCTTAGTGATTTTCAAACTTAATTAAAACAGACTGAATCTTTTAAAAGGGAAACTCCCATGACTGCCAGTACTGAGAAACAATTTTCATTAAGTTACATAAGTATGAACCTAAAATTAGAAATACTCTCCATAGAGCTTAGACAAGCTCTAAAACCAAAATCAATACACACACTAAATACCAACAAAATTTCAGAATCAACATCTAAACTATCAACATCAATTTAATCTGATAAATGTTCTTTTACAAACCTAGACTGATGAAAAGCACATCTATGGTACTGACAGAGGCCAGTAAGCTGGGTGTTTCACATGACTCAATTCTGCTTCCACTCTTCCGCTGGGCCGTGAGCCCCCGCCAGCACAGCCGAGCACCTCCCAGCCATCCCACAGGAGCTTCGGCTCTCAGCCAGACAGAGGCTCCGTCACAGTGGACAAACCTCCTACTGAGGCACTGTGCTGGAAGGTGGTCATCTGGCTGAGGCAGAAGGAAAAAGTATCAAAGGGCTAAGACAAGAGTCTCCCCGAGCTGGAGCAAATGGGTTCCCAGACAGAAAGGCCCAAGGGAGTGCCCAGCATATTTAATGAATAGACACAGGCCAAGAAAATCTAAGCACCAAGGGTAAAAAGGAGATGCTAAGTATTTCCAAGAAAACAAACAGGTCACATACAAAAGAAAGGGAATCAGATGTTACTACACAGGTTGCAGGAAAACGGTGGAGAGAATACCAACTACCCTCAAAATTCTGAGGAAAAATGACTATCAACTTAGAATTCTATACCTAGCAAGAGTAAAAATGTTTTCAAACATGCAGAGTCAAAACAAACAAAACCCTTTCTCAGGAAACTGCTGGAAGATGCAATTTGGCAAAATGAGAGAAAAAAACAAGAGAAAGGAAGATCAGGAACTTGACTTCTAAAAACTGGTGAAGAAAGTCTCGGATATGAGCCACACAGCCATCAGCCCTAGAGAGCAGCAGTCCAGGCTGGAGAAAGACTGTGGCTATGACAAGTCACCTCCTGGGGAAAGAAGAGCTGAAAGATTATCTGTGTTTGTATTTGACAGATCTATTGAAGTGTTTGTTTAAAAAAAAAAAATACTGAAGACAGAACCTT